CGAAGCAACCACAAACCTTGATATCTGGTGATGCGAAGACGCACTTGTCGATGTTGGTGTAGATCTTGTTCGCTCGCATCACGCCTAACACTCGACGGAGGTGCTCCCAATGCACCTCCATGGCCGTCTTGCCTCCCTCGGCACGGCTATGGACGAAGATGTCGTCGAAGTACGATTGTATGAAGGCGCAATGTCCTGTACAGTTGCATCGCCAGGCGGTTGAATGTCGCCGTGGCGTTAGACAAGCCCTGCTGCATGAAAAGACATTCTCAAAGCATGCCGCTTGGAGTGCTTACCGCGGTGAGCGGGATGTCTCTCTCGCTCATCAGGATCTGGTAGTATCCGTCTACCAAATCCAGCGCACTGTACAGTACGCGTCCGGCCATGTTGTTCGACAACACATCCTTTCGTGGGATGGATGTATGGGCCTGCACCGTCGCGTTGCTCAGCTTGTTATAAGCGTGAGCTAGACGCCACTTCCCGTTCGGTTTCCGAGCGCAGAAGGTTGGCGTCGAGTGCGGGGACTTTGACTCCCGCACCATGCCAGCCGTCGCTTACGCAGCGAAGAAGGCATCGATGACCTCGCACTGGTCACGTGGCAGAAGCCATTGTCTCGTGACACAGTACTTTGTGCCAGGCACGAGATCAATCTCATGTCGTACGCCTCGATCTGGTGGGAGCTGGGGCGGTGGGTGTTTGTTCACCACGTCCGCATACTCCGTCACCAAAGGATACACCGGATCCTTGGAGTTCATAAGGATCTCAGAACCCAAGCGCGTCTGACGCTGCTTGTTCAGGTCTTCCAGGACGTCCTCGTCCAAGATTGAGGAGGAGTTTAGCTCCTCTCGAGTGGTCTCAGGTCTCATGAGCACCATCTCGGCAACCTTTCTAGCCTTGGGGCTGACCAGGAAAGACTCAACCGTTATTTCCTCGAGGTTCAGTATCTCTGCAACCTCGGGCAACGGCTCCAAGTGGACACCAGATGCCTTGACGGGTAAACCGGTCTCACCATCGAAGATGTGCTAACACGCTTCCACCGGCCTTGTCGGAGGAGCCCGGGCCCTGGACTCCGAATCGCTAGAAGCGACGTCGATCTGAGCGAAGCTCGGATCCGACTTGAGACGGCGGCGTCGTCGATGACGGCGACCGTGATGCAGAGCTTTGCTGCCCACGTCTGGAGATGTCGGCGCTCCGACATCCGAGGCACTCGTGGCCTCGTGTGGTACGGTGGTACCCACACAGGAAGCGTATCCGACGCCTTCCTCTTCAGTCAAGGTCTGGGCGACCTCAGTGGCACTGTGTTACCCACACTGGAGGCGTATCCGACGTTTTGCTCTTCAGTTAAGGTCTGGGCGACCGTGTGTGAAGCTCTAATATCCACCTTGGGCACGCTATTACCAGCTTCGTGACAGCTGCATCTGTCTGCGGAACTATGTTACCCGCTTGTGGACCTAAGTTACCCACTTGGCCAGCGCCTCCTAGCGCCACCACCATCGAAGCGTCCTCGGTGTCGTCATATACGTCGACGACTTTCAAGCATCTGCAGGATGCTTTGGTACCCTGGCAACCCTTGCGGGCGCTCCGGGACCTGACAGAGGTGGGAACATGACTCACCAATGCTCTGTCGGACTTCGCAGGGCTGCTGGCACCGATTGCATTGCCTCGCCAGTCGAGCCAGGGTTCGTGCTTCTCGAGCCAGGGCATGCCCAGGATCGTACTGTAGGAATCCATGTCGAGAACAGTAAACTGATCGAGGCTGTCAAAACACTCAAACTTGACGGCCAAATCCACTTGGGCGTTGATGACAGTGACGACCTTCCCGTCGGCCTGTCGCCCTGACACCGTCCCGTTGACCTTGCTTTCGCTCAAAGCTTCGGACAACTTGTTGTTATTACGAGCGACCGTCTGGCGGCGTGCGAAATACTTCGACGCCTCAGAATCGATTAAGATTCTAAAGGGGTGATCATATCCCCGTACACATCCATGTACTACGAGCAGCCCGCCGCTGCTCTTCACCTATACGAGAGAGCGAAGACTCTCAGGGACTAAGTCCCCGTGGCACGCGCCACCCGTGCACCCCTCACGACGTCTTAGTGCTTCCCCAGAGAGGCGACCCGCCCATACTGGTCTCCGGCGTTCCCCTGTCTGGCTTCTGCCAGCGACCCTTGAGGACGGACTTGGGAAAGTCCGACTGCGGTGTCTCTCCGCGGGATAGTCACGCTTGAAATGGTCCAGCTTCCCGCAGCCGAAGCAGCGAATGTCGCGCTGTTCGGCGGACCCAAGTTCTATGGGAGCTGGACAGGTGGGGTTTGCTTGACCGGGATTCGACAAGGAACTCCCAGGCCATGCTGAGGCCGGCGTACGCGCCTAGCGATGGCTGTACTCTTCCTAAGCAGTCACTTGAATAGCCTCTTTGAGGGTGCTTGGAACAGCTGAGTGCGTGCGAGGCCCACTCGAAGGCCGTCCATGAACACAGTCATCTGATGTGTTCGTTGCGTGGGTTCCCCACTAGGAACGCCGCGAGCTTCCGTATCTCTTGGATGTACTCGTGCAGCTCACGCCTTCCTTGCTTGCATGAGAGGAAGCGCGAGCGCTGCCGGTACTCGTAGCTCGCCGGAAGGAACGCGGCTCAAAGCTGTTCGCACAGCTGAGCCAAGGATGTGGAACATCCAGACGATGTCGCCCGCGCGGATACACCCAACTCTTAGCACGACCGCTAAGGTTGGAGAGTGCAATAGCAATATTCGGTCAAGATCACAGCCGCGTTCATCGCGAGCTCTACTTCCCGAGCCCAAGAGCGAAGGTTCTCACCTTCCTTTGCTTCATACAGCTTCACCTTCAGTCGTTTTGGCTTCGGGTGTGGCAGACTTGTTTCCGCCGTCGGGGCCTGCAGGTTCTTCCGCACATGTGCGATGGTCGTAAGCGTCAAACGCATTGACATTCTTGAGCTGCTCGACCGGTGTTGACGCCACCAGGCTCTGCAGGACCTCCATACCGAAGATGCCAGCCATCTTCCGACCCGACCCGAGCTGTGAGTCGTTCAGATGGGAGAAGTCATTCCTATCCATGACGACGAACTTCAGAGAGGTTCAGGTAGTCTACCCGCGTTGGCGTTGATTGACTACAAGTGCTATCAAGTGTGACGGGCGCTGGAGGAAGTTGACTTCCGAGAGTATACAAACGCTCAGTGAACAGTAGTTCACAGGCTACTTTTATCTAAGGGAGCGAAGTGATCAATTTAAGGTAATTTGTATTGTGCTTTGCAGATGGAATGTCCATCCGTTTCATAGCCTAGATCGAGCATGTTCCGAGCATAAAACCACGCGTAAAAATGAGATGAAAAGAGGGAGGCATCTATTTGTTTCATCTGTGATCGAATTACCATTTCAAAACGGCGAAAAGGGTCGATTTACAGGATATCGATGTGGATTTGGTGGTTGGTCGATCCCGAGCGCTTGATTTAGGTGTTGTGGCTCGATTTATCATCTAGCTATGTCGATTTGCACTTTTTATAGACCTCGATTTAATAAATCGAGCCTCAGGCTAAGTGAAAAGGACAAAAGCATAGAAATGCACAATAAACTGAATATTTTAAAAGGTAGACTAAGCTTGAGTTTAATAAACAAACTATAAGTCAATAGAAAAGCTATGTCATCAGCCAATGGCTGGCTTCGGACGACCCTGGTACCATGTACCAGATATCACAAAGTGTGACGTGTCACACTTCATGTAGCTGGGTACACTTGGGCGTACCCCGCTACAAATACTGTTATAAAATATAATATGTTTTAAGCATTATTTTGCCCCTTCTTTCTTTTCAAAAAATTGGTCTCCCTCCATTTTGAAGTATTTTAAATGATTAAACTTTTCCAAATTTTGAGTAATACTTTACCCTGTAAGTTAATGATACCAACCGTATATTCTTTATTTACAGCAACTACGGTTTGAAAGCCTTTACTTACCAACAAACTTCGCACCAAAATTTAGATTTGATCCCGTTACAAAACCCATATCGAGTCGATATGGGTTTTCTAGATGTCGATATTATCGACATCTAGATATATTGGGTAAATTCGGGCTCTGAGCACCTTACCGTATCCGAGGATCAGAGACGCTTTCCGATACGACAGACGGCAGAGCTGAATACCATACAAATTCTATAATACCTGTACACCAAGAAATGACCGAAGTTAGAAAGTCACATCACAAGATTTTATAAATATCCGACATTTCTTTGTCAAAGATACAGTTATTTGAAATTCGGGAACATAGGAGGTACAAACATTAAAGTTCAATTTACATGCTGTACCCAAAGTTTTTCTACCATGTAAGTACAGGATTTGTATAGACATTATTAGACTCAGTAGTTTCACGGTACTGCATGTAGCACAGCAGTTGAAGGCGTCAAGTAGCACGAATCTGGTTTCTCTCGTACTTTGACAGTTAGTTTTACTGCCGGAGATCCAACGTCCAAATTGTACGAGTAGTGTACGAAAACACATTCACGATGTTCACATTTTAAAGCACCGCGTTTTTGGTGGTGCTGAAAAGGCAGCTACAGTACCTCCACTCACATGGTGCGAGGCTCTTAGCTTGCCGGATAGCTGACAACCAGTTTCAGAACACGTTTTAGCATCAAGAGTTGTGATTGTCGCTGTATCTGACTAGATACTTACATTAAGTGAATGAATAATTTGCTAACATTCCAGAATCTGAAGAGCCGGTAAATCTAGACGTGTCCCCTTTGACAAACATTTATTCCGCAGTCCGGCAATTTTATTGGTCAATATGTCTTTCTTGAGATTTGAAAGGGCCCTTTCAAATCTCGAAATGTCGGTACCGGTATACATGTATCGTAAACATGCACTATTAATATTGTATGTTTACGATCACATAAATCTCCGTGATAACCCCTAGCAGGGGGTGTTTGAGGTCATTGTCGAATCCTCTCCCCTCGTACGAAGTGTCCAAAGTTATCGCAGCAGACCGTCAATTAAGAAATGAGATGCTACTACGTCCTTATAGCAATAGCTGCCGTCCTGAGTGGAATTGCAACGGCAGCTGCAGACTCAAGGCACAACAAGTTAGCTGCGGTCGATAGTGACAAGACTACCGATAGAGTGGAGCTATTTCTGCGTCGGAATGATGAATTGGACGCTGAGAACACTGATGAACGGATAGTAGCGGGCGCCATACCCCTCAACGCCAGAATAATTAAGAGGCTCGTCAAACTCGAAAAGAAAATGGTCGATCCAAAGTTGGCCGATGACTTGCTGGAAGGAACCACACTTAAAACGGAACTCGACGCTGCCCTCCCATATGCAGGGAGGACACAAGTATTCGAGCGCTGGCACGCACAAGGTCTGGATCCGAGCTCGATAACCAAAGCCGTCAACATACACCCCGCCATCGAAAAGAAGTACAGGATTGTCTACATGATGTACGAGCTCTTCGTAAAGTCTGCTGATAAGAAACGACTGGCAAAGCTAAAAAGGAAGAGGACCAACGATTAAATGCTGCGGTAATTGACGTACTTAAGTACCTCATTAGCTCAAAACGAGTACATGCTTCATAAATGTTTCTGAGTCGGCTATCTGTTTTGTACTGTTCAGGGTTAGATTTCTTGTTTAAGGTACTCGAAAAAAAAACAGGAGTTAAGAGACCTTTTTAGAGAACTGTAGTTTCTGTAAGGAATATCTAAGCAAAATCCGGATTAGCCAATAATATATTTCCGTGTATGCTCCAAATACCGTACATAACTCCAGTGGAGTTATGAGGGCTCCAGGGAGTCTATTTTTGGAGCGACGGTTCGTAACCCTCGATTAGCTCCATAACCTCGGATAACTCCAAAAACTTCAGTTCTCAATTGTCGTCAAGATGGTTGAGTATTATCTGTTGCAGCAGTCATGACGGCCCAGAAGATGTTGCCTGCTGCGTGATTCGTGGTGGGAATGGTGCCGTTTGAGCTTCAGACTCGAAGCTTTTTTAGTTTGCGGCGCCGCACAAGATCACGGAGACGTTGATAGTGCCGCCTGGTGCGCATCCGGAGACGACGAATGTTACGGAATTTGTAATGGCAAAGGGAAGAAGATGGTTCGCACTACTAGAGAACTTTAGTTTCTGGAATAACGCAAGGCTTGGAATCGATTATCTGGATAAAATCTAAATAAATGACGGATAGATTACCGATCGATATTCCAATAATTTATTCCAGCTATTCCACTGGAATATATTTCTGGACGAAGAATATTCTTATTCCATTATTCCAGAAACTAAAGTTCTCCATTATGTGGTACCACAAAAAATAAATAATAATAACTATTATCAAATAATTACCTCTTGCGTTGCGTAGATCAAATTTTGAGCCACGCAGCGAAATTGGGTGTGCGGGACGGTGTCCGAACCAGGGATTAGTAGTAGCGTAAAAAAAACCGGTAGTAGTATTACCGGGACTATTGGGTTTTCACAAAAGGATACATATTAGAAATAGTAGCGCTTCAACAAAGTGGTAGTAGTAGTAGTCATTTTAGTATACTATTTTGACAGCTACTATTTCTGACTTACGATTCGTTCGACTTGCGAGCGTCCAGCTTCATCTTCATGATTTCATCCCTATGGTGCCGCAGTAGCAGCTTCCTCTCCACTCGGCTGCTATCCGTCCTTGTCCTCAGAGGTCCCATAACTATCCCTCCAGTTGAAAACACCCTCTCTTGGAGCGCTGAAGACGATATTTTGCCAAGATGGATACGCGCCAGTAGCGCAATAGAGGGGAACTGAGCTTCACCTTCATCTTGAAACCACTTAAGCACATCTATATGTTTGTAGAGGCCCAACACAGCGTAGTGCATACCGCACTGTGGGTCAATCGACATGTCCTTCGACAAGTCCTCAATCTTGATCTTGGGGCTCTGGCGTTGGGCGACCTCGAGCCACTCTGGTTCTAAATTAAGCCACTCTCGTAGTACAGCGTCGGCTCTGGCATTGATATCGGTCTCCTTTAGCTCGTCTCTTTTCTTTGTAGCCCGGATAAGTGCTCCTAGTAAGAGTTCATATGCGTCATCCCAGCCCGTTGATAAGGGCGATGAAAAAGGCGACGAGTCTTGGCTCAACGGACTATTTTGGGGCAGCGACGGCTGAGAGAGAGAGAGATTTCCCTGTTTGGTCATCTGAGCAAACACTTTTCTGTGCTCGACACGAAGAAAGTCAACACCATTCTTGTAGATACCTTTTCCTCCTTGCGTGGAATATTACCGACGGCGGCAATCTTCTTTGCACTGGACTCTGTCCTAGGATCCAGTAGAGCACATGCCATCGACTCCGTGGTTACTGTGGGAAAACGAGCCTGCAGCTGCATGAGAGCTCTTCGGAGACATGTCTTACCAATGTCCGAGAACTGGTTTCTCGTCTTCGTCACTCGACGATGACTCGCTTCGCTAGCATCCTTGGCTCCAGGAGCCTTAATAACCATGGCTTCAAATTTGAATGCCTTCAGCTTGTTCTCTGTAAGCCGCCGGAACACAACCATGTACGAAGACACAAGGTTCTCGCTCTGCACCTCTACCACAGCAAGATTGGCTATAAAATTGGTGGCTGCCTCCATTTCGACAGCGAGCATCCAATCCTTAGCGGTCAGAGCGCTCCATGAGCTAGTAGAATCCTTCGTAGACTGGAGGAAAGCATCAAAAGCTGCGTAGCTGACGACAAATCTTCTAATAAGTTTGCATGTGTTTGCAACGCGGACGTCTTGGTCCGTCATCGGCTCCAGTTCTGGGTATGAGAGGGCCTCCTGGATCTTCTTCAATGCATTGCGCTGTTTTGGCGCCAGGAAGCGGTTGGTCAGGTTGCGAAGCTTGTAAATCACGTCCCCGCCTTCGTACAGAGCTCCTCCGGGGGTTACCGTAGTAACTATTTTGTCCCACGAGCCTGTAGATTTGTTCCAGACAGTCGTCGTCTGAATATTGTCTTTGAGGCCGATACCGTATCCAATAAACAGGTTTAACAAGTGCATAGAGCAATTTTCTTACTCAATGTCGATGTGATCAGCGACGCTCTTCGCTGATGGAATCGTGTCCGACATGGTGTATCGCGTCAATGAGCAAATATCCAGATTGAACCGTGATTTAAACGCACTCTCGATGACCTTAGCGAGGGCTGGGACATTATGGCCATCATTCTTCACGCAGGCGAAGACCGCAATAAAGCGGAATCTGCACAAACTGTCAATAAAGGCGACAGATGCACCTACGATGCTATCCTTTCCACAAGTTGTCCATATATCGTGAATGAGATTAAAAAACTTCATATTACAAGCTTTCTCATACTCAGTGGACAGCAATACACCGACCAATTCGCAAAATATTTGAAAGTGGCCATTTAGTAGACGGTCGTGCCTGTCGCGGCCCAGGACTTGAAACGCAGGGTTTCCAGTCAGGGTTTCCTAAAAATATATTGTAATAAGCAATAATTGCCATATTATGCCATACCATTATGTATTTCGAGCCGCACGACTCCCCCGTCAATAACTTATTTCGGTAGATTTAGTCCAGAGTAACATATTTTGTCATTTTGAAATCAAAAATTTACTTATCATAACCCTATTGTATTACTTAGTAACCAATAAGAAAGCGGCCGCTGGAGCTACTCGACAACCAACCGTTCATGCTGCTGCTCTGAGCTGAGGCCAGGCTCATTTGTAAATTCCGTGCTGGCATGGATAATCTTCTCTCCCCAACGCGATCACCAGTTTCTCGCTACACCAGAAAGCAGATCTGCGATGTATTTTTCAAGCGAATCCGTGACGAGAATGACGACTGTATGGGTTTCTATCGATGTCGCTGCGGCGTACAGCGGAAACAGGACGCCAAACGTGGCTACACGAACCTAATCAACCACATTTATAGTCAACATCCTGATTATGAAACTACTCTAGACAGTTTTCAAGGCGGCAACAATGGCACACTCTTGTCGTTCGTAGACAAAAAGAGCGCCAATATATTTGGATGGCTAGAGTGGATTGTTGATGCTAACTTGCCGCTCTCATTCTGCGAGAACAGCCTAACGCGACGCTACACGACCCTCAAGCCCATATGTGATGATACCTTGGTCCACAACATGGCAGCTGTTTGCCAGGAAGTGCTGCGCACGTTCAGCGAATTTCTCCCTGAAAGATTTGGTATCGTATTTGACGGGTGGTCTTTCAAAAGTGAACATTACGCGGGGGTCTTTGCCGCTTTTGGTCATGATGGTAAGCGGGAGACTGTACTATTGGCGATGGCGCCTCTACTAGACAAGGAAGACTGCAACAACCATCCCCATCACGATGCTGATGCACATGTTGCGTTCCTCAAGACGATTTTAAAGCCGTTGAAGCGGCGCATCGAATGTGTCCGCTTCCTGGTCGGCGACAACTGTTCCGTCAATGGAAGCATCGCGTCAAAGCTGGGGATTCCGTTGGTCGGCTGTGCCAGCCATCGACTAAATCTCGCTATGACCCAGTATCTGGACGAGTATGAAGACATTCTGGAGAAAATCAACGATCTTATGAAGTTCCTGCGTGGTCTCAATCAGTCGGCAAAGTTAAGGTAAGCCGTATCTGAGTTTTATTCTATATCCGAGTTTTATTTAATTTGTTTTTATGCGGACTACATAGACACAAAACACCACTCCGGCCAGTTATTCGGCAAAAGACTCGATGGTCCTCCACGTTTTCCATGGTGGAACGCTACTTCAAGCTCAAGCCCTTCCTGGACTCCGCGGATGACGACTTAGCAGCGTACATGCCATCCCCACTGGAAGAGAGGCAGCTGCGTTCAACGCTTGACGATCTGAAGGATTTTGAGTCGGTAAGCAAGAAGCTCCAGGAGGAAGGTAACTTAACGCTGGCAGATGTTCGTGCTTTGTTTGACAGCCTCATGGAAAAAGCACCATCCCTAGGGAGCTATCTGGCTCCACAGGCTCCCATAGTCAAGTTCCCGATATTCGAGATGGCGTGCGTACAAGTTCTGAACGGAGAGACTCGGCTTTTGACGCGAAACTCTGTCGCGGCTCTAGCTCAATTTGCTGCTCCAGCCTTAATCCAACCTCAGCATGCCGCAGCCAACAAGGAAAATAAAAAGCTCAGCTTTGCTGAGCAAGCACTTAAGAAGCGGAAGGTGGATGCGCAACAGCAACCGAGGTAGGAGCTTTTTAAATGTCGTTGTCATGTCAATTTGACCAATTCCTTTTGTATATGAACAGATACGAGTTGGTGCAATACATTCCACCGACGTCTAATATTGCCGAACGTTTTTTTAGCCAAGCTGGAATCGTGTTGTCTCCTCAGCGGCAAGCCATGGCGCCGGCCCAGCTGGAAAACATCCTATTTCTCAAGACAAATCGCCGATATTGGAACGTGGCAATGGTGCAGATGGTTGGTAAGCAGAATTGAATTTGAGGTATGCATAATGTATTTCATCTTTGTCAAGGGTGCAATAATGTATTTCATGTCGGCTCTACCATGCTCACCATTATATATTTCATCAGTTGTTTACCATATAATTGCAATACTATTCTAGGAAACCCTGTTTCCAGTAGCAGCGCAAATGAGGTCCTTGAAAGCGGGGGACTCGCACAACGTGTACGGTAGTCCCTATGATATCAAGAGCTTCGAGACGAGAACGTTCAAAGTCTTCTCGCTCACTCGGAAGAAGAACTTAGAAGCACTTCCTCCTGACACCACTCTCGCATCGTCAGGAGAAGTCATGGACGTTTGGTTTTGATCCGGATCCCGCGTCAGGTCCAACACGGACGCGGAATCCACTTCGGCGGACTCAACATCTTTCCTGGACTTATCCGTAGCACTCTGCTCCGCAAAAATGGCAAGAAAATGGTCGGCGTGCTTCAGTTTGATGTGATCCTTTGAATTGCTTGCGTTCTTGGTATTCCTGAGAGCCTCTTCCAAACTATATGGATTCGTCTTGGAGCGGGACTTGATAGTCTTGCAGCACAACAGGCAGCTGCTGCGATATAGTTGAGAGGACGGCTTCCAAGGGTTTTTCTTTTTGTACGGCACGTCCAGGGTGTGGACGAGATCCCAGAGATCGTCTGTTGTGTCCGCTTTCCTCGCGTGCTTAACGGTAAGTGGCACGCCAAGACCTGACATCGGAGGTGCAGGCAGCGGTATCGGTGCGGCCGTGAAAAGACTGTCGGCAGCTTCTGAAGACGGAGCTGCTTTCTTCTTCCCAGCCTTGGTCTGCGTAGACAGAGGTGGCTTCTTCTTCGAGGCATTTACGGCAGGGCTTGGAGCAGTTCTCTGCCGCTTCACTTCGCGATCGTCATCCCTGACCCCAGACAGATCTGGAGATGGGGTGAAGTCCGAATCGGTACCCTTCCAAATATCTCTCAATCCACCAGACGTGATTGTCCGTTTACCAGAGGCGGAAGCTGACGCAGGTGGGCTGACCTCTGGATACACGACACGCACACAAGAAGGACTGCAAAACCTAGACATCACTTTACATTAATATACACCCGGTTAGAATTCGACAAGTTGGCTGGAATACCTTTCATTTAGTGCCGAATCGCTGCCTTCGTAGACGCCAATAGCACACATGTGATGTATAAGCCTTCCACACACAGTACACGGGTCCTTCTTAAGGCCATCGTCTTCCTGACATCCCTCTACAAAGCACGCCATAGTTGTCTCCTGAGACGTTAACTCGATGAACTGGCGATCTTCCTTTTTGTTCGCAAATGACGAGCGTCTCGCACTGCAGAACGAGAGCCACTCAGTCAAAAATTGTCAAATGAGGGGTGGCTATGCTGGCTCAGGGTTCTGGTAAAAATATTTTTTTGAGAGTACTATAGTACTGGGATTTGAGAGTAATACTAATACCAATAGTGAATACAAAACATTCGGTATTCATATGACTACTATGTAAATAATAGTAGTATTAGTTTAGCTCTCGAATCATATTTTTGTTCTACTACCAATCCCTGGTCCGAACAGGTTGTTGAACCATGCACCGAACGACAGTGTACTTCAGGTCTAGTGAGCTTCGTTGACCGGAGTTTGGGAGGTGGCGGCGGGTCAGGTAGCCGCTTTCCACGTTTTATCCGGGTGAAGAGTAAAACTATGCCATCACTTCCCGTCTTGCCTTTAGCTGAGATTACACAGCGTCGAAACCAAACGTGCGCTGTAGTCCTTTGCGTTGCTTCCATTACCTGCAGCTTGTTCGTCAAATGAGCCGTGTTGTCCGTCTCAAACTTATTATCTAAGAATTCGTATCCGCGAGGTAAACTACCACACAGGTATTTCCTCAAATTCGGAAATTCACGGAACTTCTGCTACTTCTTAAGTATTTATAAAGCCTCTCTCACATTATGCCGAATTTCTCAAATTTTAGTTTCCACTTAGGCAATCGTCACATTCAAAATGTCGTTCTTAGAGCATGTATGCAGCATATCGCTAGCGGCTTCCTGGACGAGTCCCTAGACGCCAGCGATGGGTCCAACAGCTCGGCCATCAATATCCCACTTCTGACATTAGTATACACTTCGGAGTCCAAAAAATATTTTAGAAATAGCAAATAGCAAATAGCTCAAAAGAATTACTTCGAAGTATCTCTTTAGGCGGAATGGGTGTCACGAGACCGCAAATTTACGAAAGTGGAGGACTTGGCGGTACTTTAAGAAGAAAACCCGTCGGCTTACAGATCCCATTACAGCAGTATCTTAAAACACGAGAAACCACATGTAGACGAAAAGGCGTGAGGTAGAGCAAGTTGAAGCTGACTCTTCGTTACCCATTTTGGCGTCTGACATAACATTACAGACCTAGACCGGCGTGGATAAGACACCAGGCTTTTCGTCGAAGCTCGACCTGACGACCAAAAGCAATTCTGAGAAATGCCAACGCCAGGAACAATGCTGGAAGCACGAACATAACGCCGTGCGTTTACCGAATGAACGCAAGTCTATTGTGCAAGCAGTCGTAGCTGCATGTTTCAAAGTCTGTGCCTCGCTGTGCGATGCAAACTGACTCGTTGATAAACAAAACCTCTTCAAAAATATATATGTTTTAGACTCCCTGCCCTGTTTTAAACAGGCTGTTTAGCGGCAATCTTAAGGAGTTGCGTGAATTCATTCATGGCTCGTAGTGACGTGCCCCTAGGAGCCCGAGGCAAAACCTACAGCAGGGTTTCTCAATGCATACAAACTTCCAAATAGATAACGGCTGTTTTCATTTTACCAGATTCCACCATTTTCTTGCATGCAACCTCGCGTTCAGAGTCCACAACCTGACTCCATTTTTCCAATTGCCCAGCGTCCTAGGCACCAGCAACTTTAACTTCGCCACTCTCCTCCATTCTCAAAACTTCCTACTTCAGTTGCATTCACTCTTCATCATGCTCCGCCTCGGAAGATCAGCAGCCTCGGAAGTCTCCTCCATCCGCAATAGCCTACAGCTTCAACTGGAGCAACGCGGCGCTAGACCAATGCAATGTGCCTATCAGACACAGTCACACAGTAACCCGGAGGGCGCCAAGCGTGGCAGATCCCCAATGAGCCTGGCCGTTATGGGCGCCGCGGCACTGAGCGTCGGTCTCGAACTGCAGACGGATGGCATCGCACAGGCCCGAGCTGCAATGGAGCCGGGTACGCAGTTGCAGAGACACAAGTGGCAATTGTTCGATCAGATCGGCGCCGGTGCCTTTGGTGTCGTGCGACTTGGCATGCACGAGGAATCAGGCGAAGTTGCGGCCGTGAAGATCGTGCCACTTGAAAATCCCAATGACCAACGCTCGTATCCGGCACTGGAGCGTGAGATCGCGGCTCTGAAGCTCGTGAAAGCCCTTGGAGGACACAATAGCATTGTCGATCTGCGTGACGTGTACGTGGAAGGCAGGAAGCTCTTCCTGGTCACCGAACTGGCTCGTGGAGGCGAACTCTTTGAGCAGATCGTGGCCTACGGGTCGTTCCCTGAGCTTAAGGCGCGAGATGTTGCGCGCGAGATGGCAAGCGCGCTCTCCTTCATGCATCGACATGGACTTGTGCACAAGGACGTCAAGCCAGAGAACATCCTCATGAGTGCACGTGTCGTTGACCACAACAGTGGCGTATATCGCAAGAGTAACCGCCACGAGAGCTCAAGTCTTGTCAAGCTCGCAGACTTTGGCAGTGCCGGTCCCGCCAGTGTGAATACCAACCTCGAGGACATCGGCACGGCCGCGTACTTGCCGCCTGAGGTCCTAAATTCTGGTTTGTGCACTAGCGCGTGCGATATGTGGGCACTGGGCTGCGTCCTCTACATCATGCTCAGCGGCTCCCACCCGTACGACCTGGACGGCATGTCTGCGGACAGTGTGGTGGAGCACCGCGTCAAGTCGGAGCCAGTCACCTTCGACTTTAGCGCTTGGGACAATGTGTCGCCCCATGCGAAGGACCTCATTTCCAAGCTGCTGGTGAAGGACCCAACGTTGCGTCTAACGGCAGACCAGATGCTCCAGCACCCGTGGATGAATGCGAGTGCCGAAGCGGCCGCTGCTGGCCTACGTAGACCTTCACCACTGCTCGCGGGCCAGCCGATCCCAATAAGTCCAGCGTAAAGCCCCGTGTACTATAAATCACTACAGCTACGTATTTAAATTGGTAAACCACCACAATAAAGAAACGACAGAAGAGAATATCGTAGGGTGAAACAGTTTACGTATTCCCAATAGAACAAAGCAATTGCTATTAATACCAGTACATGAGCTTAATAGCTGTTGAATTGGAATGTATGAAGACAAACCAGGGCAAAGAGCAGATGGAGAAGCGCTGCATAAAGCCCAACTATAACGTTTCACTGTTGGTTTCCTATCGCATTATTTAAATGACCACCCCGCACACAACACGTCCCGAAGGAGCGCTTCACGAGGTGGAGATACCAAATGCTTTCCGGGCCGAACTTACACAGAGTAAAATACAAAATGCTGTTCAGACTGTGGTGTTTCTCCCAAGACCGGTACACGGTACCATCCTTTTCCCCAACCAATGAATCTTCGCATTGTTGTTTTGACTTTGTTTCAGTAAGACCTTTTCTCCCTGTTAGTTTTAATTATCACCTCTCGCAGGTTTAGTGATCGATTGGCCATGCGTTCGCCTTGACCAGCCTCATTTTGTATGCTCCATTTTGACATTTCCCGGTTAAAAAAGAAGAGCAAGTATGGGTCGTGTTATCCGTGGTCAGCGTAAGGGTGCTGGCTCCATCTTCAAGTCGCACACACACCTGCGTAAGGGCCCCGCCGCCTTCCGCGCTCTCGACTTCGTTGAGCGCACTGGTTACATCAAGGGTGTCGTCAAGGAGATCATCCACGACTCCGGCCGTGGTGCTCCCCTGGCCAGGGTGACGTACCGTGACCCGTACCGTTTCCAGCTCAACCACGAGCTGCTGATCGCTGCCGAGGGCATGTACACGGGTATGTTCATCTACTCTGGCCCCAAGGCTACTCTTGCCGTTGGCAACACGCTGCCTCTCTCGGCCCTACCGGAAGGTACCATCGTGTGCAACGTCGAGGCCAAGGTCGGCGACCGCGGCTCGTTCGCTCGTGCTTCGGGTGACTACGCTGTTATCGTGACCCACGACGAGGACAAGGGCAAGACCAAGCTTCGTCTGCCCTCGGGCTCCAAGAAGACCGTCCCGTCGGCGTAAGTTGCTGCTTCATTATTATCGAGTCAATGATTCGAGATCTCTTTGGGGTCTCGAGGCACGGCGGCGTCGATCTCCTTATCCCCCAATAAGGAGTCGGCGTTCGCGCCGCATTGGTGTTCACAGAACACTAATGCGTGTGTGTGCTATCCATCATTCTTTCCCGCCTTGTGCGGTGAGTAAGTACGTTACTGGACTGAGAGAGTGTCATTCGATATCGGAGGGGATGATATGTTGGACTATTTTGTACTGACTTTTGGCTCTCTTATGGAAAATTGATCAACAGGTGTCGTGCCATGATTGGTGTGGTCGCTGGCGGAGGCCGTACCGACAAGCCTTTGCTTAAGGCTGGCCGTGCCTTCCACAAGTACCGTGTTAAGCGTAACGAGTGGCCCAAGGTGCGTGGTGTTGCCATGAACCCCGTGGAGCACCCCCACGGTGGTGGTAACCACCAGCACATTGGTCACCCGTCGACCGTGCGTCGCGATGCCCCCGCTGGTAAGAAGGTCGGTCTTATTGCCGCTCGCCGTACGGGCCGTCTTCGCGGTATTAAGAAGGTGGAGAAGGACAACTAAGTTGTCTAGCTCTAGCTCACAACGCAGTCTGTCGACTGTAATACGGGAATGCCATAATGAAATTGCTTTTCAACCAACATCTACTTATCGCTATCCGTACATGAATCGCTCGGCTCGACATCGCTCAGATCTTTCTCTTTCTTCTCGCTCATGACGAAGTTTTTGCATCATAGCCTCAGTTTTGCTGAATTTGTGGTGGATTTTGCTCTTCTTGGCTTTGTGTTGCTTTGACTGCTTGTCGTGTCGTCTTTTTTCACGTTCAAGAGATGACGAGCGGTCATATTGACCCGAATACTTCCTGCGATCACTACCTTTCTCGGTTGCCACATCAAACAAAGGACGCGCTTTCGGACGCATGTGATGCAATGGATCTGCCTCATTTAGCTCCCTGCGTCAAGTCACAGCGTCAGCTACGCTCATTACCGTAAATTTCACGAAGCCCCCACCTTTTCCGCTTGCGTTCCTGTTTTGCAGTCGGCTCTTTCTTCGCCAGATCTTCAGTCTGCGCGTACCAGGGCAGTCTTCCGTGTCTTTTCAGCGTATCATCCGCTTCTTTGCGGTTATTTTTGTTGTGTTTGTTGCCCACTTTGCTGTTTGCTTCCACCTCCTCTGCCTGGAAGAAGTTAATGTGCTGCTTGGAGTCGGACCCTTCGGTCGACAAAAGCTGCTGCGCACGTCGCTCTTGCTCTAACCGTCGCTCTTTCGCATTCAGAGCCTGCTGCTTCTCTTCATGCTCTCGCTCGTCCCGCAGTACGCGCTCAATGTTATCGCGTCGCCACACATGCCACTTCTTGTGCGGCAAAATGCGCAGCCCGCCGCCGCCCATGATCGTCGGAAGAAAAGTAAAGTAGATCGTGATTGGTGGATATAGGTCACGCGCTTTAATCAAAAAGGCTCTTGCGATCTAAGAACCTTAGGTATTTACTTATCACGTGGTCGTCGTGCTTGTACATGTATACATATAGTACGGCAGCTCTAGCTCTAGCAATAGCTAATATGGAACATTGCCGTTCGCGATCTTGGCGTCCACATAGCACTGTAGCCATGTTTCTTTCAGCAGCTGGTCCTCTATTCGAGTCACGAACTGAATCGAATAATCTTGAAGAGAGTATGGCCATCGAAATCGAGTCAGACGTCAAGCTAATTGCTGCAACCTAAAAGGAAGCAAAATAGTCTCTCGCTCCAAGACAACGCATGGGCGGTGTCACCGACAACGACGTCGGATCCGTAATCTCCCCAGACGACCAGCTCCAGAATGGTCTAAATGACTACATTATCTCTCCTCAAGAGGAGCGACGGAACTTCTCTATGCTGGAGACAGCGTCAGCATCACACAGTGACAATGGAGGCAAGTACGACACTGCGGTGCTGCCGTATCGCCCCAGTTCCGAGTCCGACACAAGCTCCGTGAATTTCACCGACTCATTGATGGTCGTGGGCAAGCAACTCCCATCGGGAAGAGCTGTGGCCGCTCTAGATCTCTTCGCACGCGAGAACATTGGACTACTCATCAACTACATCGCTGTCGGTGCAGTACACGGACTCTTCCAAGCCTTGATGTATCCGTATTTGAACGCATACCTCAATATGGACGACTACTTGGCCTACTCTGCAGAGCGATGGCTTGCTGTACCTTGGCTGCTTAAAGTCTTCTTCGCAATGCTGTCGGATGGAGTTCCAGTCAAAGGTTCTCGTCGACGAGCGTACATGCTGATCGGATGGATTATTTGCTTCTTCTTTTCCTTCATTATGAGTGTATTGCCATCCGAGACGCCATATTTAACGGATGAAGTGGTGACCAATAGAGCTGCTGCCGAAGCTGGCAACAAATACGTAGCCATGTTCGTGATCGCTACATTCGGCTACGTCTTGGCGGACACAGCGAGTGATGGAATGTTGGTGGAATTTGCACAACTACATCAGGCAAGTGAGCAACAACAGATGCAACTGCACCACCAACAACGAGAACTTCAGGGTGAGATCAACCCGATGCCAATGCCTCCACCACGAGCTTCAGGACCGACTTACGTTGTCACGACACTTTTTGCAGCACGCTATCTCGCACAGTCTTTCACGATGTTGTTGGTAGCATTCATGTGTAATAGTGATTCCTACGGAGGTACATTCGGATGGGGAGCTTCGGTCAACAGTATGATGATAATTGTTGTCCTCGTATCGGCCGGGACAGTTGCTTCAACGTGGTTTTTGCTGTTAGAAGATGAAAACCCCGCGGGTTACAACGTTCACATGTTAACATTGCGCGAGTGGAAAGCGACTGCGTACAAGTTGTTCCATCAACGCGCGATCGTGCAGTTGATGACGTATATGTTCCTCTCGCGTCTGTGCTTCACGTACTATGCTACATCTGCCAAGGCAGTGTACGCATACTGGTCTCCAGCAGGGACGTTACTGACCAACATTTTTTCGAGCTTGAATGCTGCGGTGTTTGCTATAGCAGCACTACTAATTGGACGTGGACCTACGATGCGGATCTTAAAGAAACTGGGCTGGCGTCAGACTGTAGCTGGCTCAGTGGTGAGCACTGCTGGACTCGTCCTCGTAGTGGCTTTATTCACGGTATTCAACTTGGTACGCGTCGGTGGGTTGACGCTGTTTGTCGAGCAGATCATTGCAATGCTCGAAGCGCTCGCGTATTTCGTGGCTCTTCTCGCTGCTGTGGCAGTCGCGGAGCCTGGACTGGAGTGTACGTCGTTCAGTTTGATAATTACGATGGGGAATCTCGCTGTTCCGTTCGCTATCTCGCTGTCTCAAGCTATCGGAGAACACTTCGACGTCTACGACTCCGAGTACGAAGCGGATTCAAGTCACGCACGAGCTCAGGCCATGTATTGTTTCCTCGTTGCGGTAGTCATTCGAGCTTTCCACCTTACTCTACTGCCTTTACTTCCCGATTGTGCTGAAGCTGCACGTGCCTTGAAGCTCTCTCGCTTCACAGGAAGAAAAGGCTCGGTGATCGTGATGGCGGCTAGTGTATGTACAGCGTTCCTGGTTTTCTGGGCACTACTCACGACGACACTTTCGTCGTTTGAACGCACTTCTTGCCTTGATGTAGCTGGCGGAGAAGGCTGCTAGCAAGAGATTTTTCATAGAAAAAAAAGATAAGTTCTCTTGTGACTACTATGTGGCTCTGTTGAGGTACGCGTCTAATGGGAAGGATAGAAAGCGCGCTGTTTCTTGAACAAAGCGAGCGTCAGCGAGACACCGGAACTTGATGTTGTCCAGCACATGGGGTGGTGTCGCACGTTGGAATAGCTGCATTCGCACGAGCGTTGCGAGCTAGAAACACAACGCAAGGTTAGCATCTAGTTAAGTTAAAATCGACAACAAGAGACTTACGTGAGTGAAGACTTCCTCGCGTGTTTCAGAAGAGTTCGATTCGTTGTCATCAGCAGAATTCTCGGCCTCAGCTTCGACCCGGAGGTTGAGATAGATGGCTAGAAGTCGCTGCAATGTGAAGATCCGAGGCCCAAGAAGCAGTTGACTGATCTGCTGCTTCTTGTTGCTAGTTGACGTGGTTGTGGCTGAGCTCGACTCTCCTTCCGGATTCTTCTTGGCTCGTTTCTTACGACGCTGTCCGCCGGAAGAAGAGAGGAAGCGCACATCGGTTTCTTGAGGATTAAACGACGCCAGATAGCCTGCTAACACGAGCAGAAGACAGTTGCGACTCAGATTGGTGCACGAGATGAGCTCGGACGGGTCGCCCATGCCGCTACCCAGCTTGTGATAGCCGAAAAGATGTCGTCTTCGTGTCTGTAGGAAGGTGTAGACGAGGCCTTTGGTATCTCGCTCCAGTTTACTCTTCATTCTAGAGGCTTCCACCCCTTGAACAGGCAACAAGAACAACGCTCGAAACTCCGGTAGCAAGTGCACCACAGCAGCACGAAACTCGAGCCAATCACCGTCCGGGGCAGGAGGCAACAGTCCATGAAGATGCACAAGCCACGAACGGAACAACTCGTTCGCCTCGTTCATTCCCAATTGTTGCATTAGAATGTCCGCCAATTGACCTACAAAGCATAACATTCCCAATTAGCGAGAAAAAAATATTTTTACCACAATTTTTCTATACTTTGCTTTTTACCGGGTTTGTACGGTGGGAAGTGCACGTAGGCAGGGAAGAAAGGCACCACAAGTCGGTCAAAATCCGACGACATTCCTCGTGTAATCAGCAACACACAAGCTTCCCATGGCGGAGAGTCCTCGAACATCTAAATGCAATAAATATCCATAGCAAAATGTTTAGTACCCACTCGGTTATCAACAGCTTTGTCAAGCTCATTAAACGAACATTCAAGTACGAGATCTGGTCGTTTATCGTGCACACACACGTAAGTAAAGCCCCAAGCCCTCGATCCAGCAACTTGTCCACATGGTCTAGTGCCAGATATAAGACTCGTCGACTCGGCTCGTCCCCTTTGGCTGCATTGTGCTCCATAAACCTGTCGAGAGCTTTGAAGAAGCCCAGGAAGTTGAGCGAGCTGAACTGCTCCTCGTCCTGTTTATTGTTATTCTCTTCAGGTTCTTTTGTATCGACGGAGACTGCAACGTCCTCCGACTCGGCAACCATTGCACCGTCATGTAGCTGAGCTAATGCTTCACGGTAGAATTCCTTGGCGGAGTAGAGCGCCGTGCAATCCACAACAGCGTGAGGCGCTGGGTACGTGCGCAGCGCTTGCGACACCCCAGCACTTTTGCCGGTAGACGCACCACCATATACGATCACGAGAGGTACTGGAGACTCGAAGATATCCGCATGCAGCCCTGCCGCCCGCGCTAACTCCGCTAACGGAGCTTCTCGCCCGATCATGGATGGTAAGCGGAAAAACAAACTTCGTCTAAGTACGATTATCGTAGAGATCCTGCTTGTCGATACAGGGCAGCAAGGTGAGTTGCCTGTACAGTACATGTAGTCTACTGCGGCTTGCGTCGGGGCTGCATGCGTGACTGTGCTTGTAACCTTTATATCTTGATTGCTGTAATACCTGATCATCTATCGAAAATAGAGTCTCACAGGAACGCTATTAGAACAACATTGAAAAAAAGTAATACCGGTAAACGCTCTAGGTATACACTAATAAATAAACTATTGTCATATACAAACATCATCTACGACGAGTTTGGCTTGGTCAACCGTCACGCCGGACTCTAACTTCACTTCGCAGTTTGCTGCCTGAAACCTGACCGTGTCGCTTCCTCTTCTAATCCTGTTGCAATGGCTCCACGCACCGCCGAGCTGTTCGAAATGATGAGCGGCGCCGTGGATGAGGTGGGTCCGTCTTTAGTGAGCAAGGTGAAGGGCGTCATCAAGTTTGACGTCTCGGGCGCCGGCGCTTGGCTCGTGGATCTCAAGAACGGCAAAGGCAGCGTCAAGTCTGCCACTGCCAGCGACAAAGCCGATCTGACCATCTCGCTGTCCGAGGAGAACTTCCTCAAGATGATGGACAATAAGCTAAACCCGCAGCAGGTCAGTACGTATCTCGACTATCTTCTTAACAAAAAACTAACTTTCTCCGTGGCTTAAGGCGTTCATGAAGGGGCTGGTGAAGATCAAGGGCAACATGGGACTCGCCATGAAGCTCAACGTAGTTTTGGCAGCCACTCGCAACTACATGAAGAAGAAAAACACGGGCGCTAAGCCAGCAGGAGCTGCTCCTGCAGCTACTGTCCCAGAAACTACTGGAGGACTCAACGCTAAGGAGATTTTCCGTCTACTAGGAGAAGTAGTAGCTAAGGATGGCGCTGCGATGACCAAGAAGGTTAAAGGGATCATCCAGTTCGACATCACGGGAGCTGGCAAGTGGAACTTGGACCTCAAGAGCGCCACACCAGCACTTACGGAGGGCTCCAAGAAGGCAGATGTGACATTTACGATCAATGACGCCGACTTTGTCGCTATCGCCATGGGCAAGCTTAACGCTCAGCAGGTGACTGCACTTGACAAAAGAAGACGCTTTAAAGGACAGCTAGCTGACGTTGTTTCTTTTGCTGCACAGGCATTCATGAAGGGTAAACTCAAACTCAAGGGAAACATGACACTCGCCATGAAGCTCCCGGTCGTTTTCAACGCTCTCAAGCCGCAGTCCAAGCTGTAAGAGGCACTTCAGTATCCAGAGTCCAAGACACTGAAAAAATGAATTTCATTGCAAAATTTCTCTTAAAATACTACAGCAGTAGTCGTTGAATTTCTAAATCTGGATATGATAGTAATCTCGTATATTTTTTGTTTCTAAGGCGTCGAGGAGGAGCTCTCCATGCCTTGTTCTTACTATACCTTAATCGCTCGTTGCGTACGAGAGAAAAACAGGAGTTACAGCACGTTGTATCAATATGTGCATGCCCTCCATCTCACCCTCCACAGGAAAGAAAGGGAAAAAATCAACTATTCGGACCGTAACGCCCATCAGCTTGACAGCCAGACAGCGTCACGTTGTGCACGTCTACTGCTGCTTGGGCTTAGCAGACTTCTTGTTGACGACAGTTTCCCAACCGTCCTCGGTGTCCTTCTTAAGCGCGACGGCAGCAGCCTTCTTCTTCTCTTTCTCCTTGTCAGTCTCCACAACGGGCTTTCCAGAGGAGCTAGCGGCCGCACGCTGCTTGGCCTTGGCGTTTTTCTTCTTCTGCTTGAGCTTTAGCTTGCGTTTCTCAGCGCGAATAGCCTCCTCCTCCTCCGAATCCGGACCATCCTGGCAACAAATACGATTAGTTTGACATACCAACGAATGTCTACATGAGACTATGCCACGTACGTCCACGAACTCCTCGAGGTTGATGTCGGACGCGTTCTCCTTATCCGCGGGAGCAGATGCAGCGGGCGTTTTCTTCTTGGCCTTGCTCTTCTTTTTCTTCTTGGTGACGGCAGTGGCCTCTGGAGCCGCCTTGCCCCCCAGCGCCTTAGCGGCCGTCAGACCCACAGCAGCGGCGACGATAGCGCCGCCCACTGCGATGCCAGTGGTAGGGTTCTGCTCCAGCAGCGCCATGATCGAGTCGGCCATTGTGCTATCTAAGTGTATGGATCTCTGTAGCCGAAAAGCCTGAAGTGAGCTGCTGTCGCTGTCGGAATTGCGAATGCGTCGTTAGATCGGTGAGCCGAATACGGAAAAGCGGAAGCCACGTGGCCACGATTGGCGACTATTATGATAAATAGTTTTTAATATTTACAGGATAAAGCCAATTACCACACTGTATTTTTTTTGCGTATGCAGCGGTCAAACCTGTATGATCTCTATTAGAGATTGTGATGGAACCCAGAATTTGTATTAGAGATTCTCTAATACAAATTCTGGGTTCCATCACAGAATCTCTATCTGCAGCTGTGATGGAACCCAAAATTTGTGAGTCCTTTGCTAGCTACCTTTGAAGTAGCCTATTTCACACCATCGTAAAGCTGAGCGTCTGACTCAGACGGTCTGAGCTTTAGAAAAGAGCTTAGGTTGAGCAAATTTATGGGTGAGTCGTCAAACCTCCGACAATAATAGAAGTCATTATTGCATTATTGACCAATTATCAGGCATGAATTTAAATTCAGCGAATCAAACAAAGACAGCGCATTATTTTGGCCAATCCAATGCGAGTTGAGCTTGTTAAACAACAGCTCCGACATATCTGGTCGGAGACATAATAGCTGCTACTGATATTCCCATACACACGTTTAATCATTTGCATATTTCACAGGTAACATGCAAACGTCGACCTCTCCGACACACCAAGAGCCTCACAGATATCGCACCCACCAACACAAAGCGTGCGCACGAGAGCGCGTCTCGTTCCTTCAAGGCTTTCTTCACTGAGGAAAGCGTGGCATGGGTGTACCTGGAGGTGTGCATGAAGCGCGACAACGCTGCTACCGTGCTGGAGGCAGTGGTTGTAATGGGCCCCTCCATTATATAAGTAGGTAGATTTCTTTACAAAAGTAGGTGCATCAACACACGACTAGCGTGTGCTGAAATGCTGTCATGCCATTGGCTGATATATGGAGAGCCAGACCCATTATTAGCCAATTGGACTATGACGTGTATTTGAGTGGCCAGGGCTGTGGCCTTGGTCCTAAAATAAAGTCAGAGTTGATTTTTCCTTAAACCTAAGACTCAGTCGTCCTATTGCGAGCTTCCTCAACACTATAGTGTAAGCAAGTAACGGAGTAAATACCTGGCCCGTTACACCTGGTAGCACTTTGTAGTCCTTCCAACGACCAAGCTCGACATGAGCCAAGACCTCGACCACGCTGCCTTTCTCCATCTCACTCGGATCGAGTGGGAAGCTCTCCACCGCCTTGCGGCGGTGTCCGGAGAAGCCGTCGTCATGTCGCTGCTGCGCTCAGCGACGCCCGACGAGCAGCGCGTTGCGGCACAAGAATTCATGGAGCGCGAGCTCGCCGATGCGAATCGGCGAGTGTCAACTCCCTCGCGTATCTTCACGAATGACGTCGTGAAGCTAGAGACGTCCACCTACTCCGGTGCCGGAGAAGATCGACTTCCGCTGAATTGCTGGTTTCGAGAGATCGACATCGCCATCGCCTCGAGGTTGATCGAAGCGCCTTCCGCGAAGGTCCATTTCCTCCTCTCGCGGCTGTCTGGGAAAGTCAAGGAATGGGCTCTCGGCAAGTTGGTTGTCGATCCCAACGTCTTCCCCACTCTGGATACCCTCCAGAGTGACCTTCGGCTCGCGTTCGAGCCGCCGCAAGATGAATCCCGAATTCAGGCAGACTTCTTCGCCGTTAGAGATCCGAAACGACTACATTTCCTATATATTTGTATGAGAATAGGATTAAATAGGGGAGCCGAAAAGGCTCCCAGAAGATAACAGAGCAGAATTTTCGTAGTCCAAGACACGTGTACACTTTTCCGGTAAGTCCCTGCATAGGGCTGGATTATGCCTGCCGTCAATACTCGAGAGGCATAGCTTGTAGGGTATTGACTGATAGCGCCAAGAGATTAGGTCGGTCCGGGTAGGACAAAGTCTCGCTACGCGCGGAAGAAAGCCCAGCAAACTCAGCGGACCGGTACGTCGGATAGCCCGGGTGCCGTTTCACTTCTAGCTAAGCAGCCTCTGCGCTCGGTGACTTGTAAAAGCGCTCGCGCGCCGCCGTCCATCCTTTGGTGGAGGGCACAGGGTTGTGAACGAGCTCTGCCGAACCAAACTCGGCGGAGCCTCGGAAGTGCTCTGACTTGGTTAGTCGGAACCGAGTGGAAGCGAGCCACTCGTCTGTTCCGGAAGGATGGGACCACCTCTGCGCAGGCCATACAATCGCCGACCTAACTCGGCGATTCGTTGTGGTTTGTGTAAGGAATCCACATCTGACGGTATATGTGTGTTCTACTACACCGCAACTGGTACCGTGACCCGGGAACAGGAGTGTGTGCTTGTTGTTTATAGGTGCCAGCTAATAAGGTTAAGAAGAAGAGAAAGAGAAGAGTGAAGATGGTCAAGGGATCAGCAACTCCGAGCGACGGAAGCCCAGCGACGGCTGGAGGATCGCCTCTCGCGGGGTCGGACCCGGCGGATCAACGACTCATCGCCATGACGATGGAGGTGGGACGAACCGTCCAGTTCGACGAGGATGGCCAAGACCAGGAGAGCGAGAACGGAGATGCAAGTGAAGGAGAGTATGAAGAGAAGGCCGAGACCGCTGAGCTCGGAGAAACGAAGACTACCGCCGAGCTACTTGGCGAGGTGGAAGAGTTGACGCTGCAGGTGGAACGCATGGGAGCCTTACATCCTTTCGAGCTTATCCGCCGAGCTCGACGAAGATGTGGACGATGAAGAAGATGAATAAGAACATGGCGTTGCTCAAGGGAACTGTCCGCCCCTCATTCCGAAAGCGACGAGGAACGCCGATACGCCGAGCGCCAATAAAGTGTTGGCTCGACTTGGCGAAGAGATGAGAACGAGATCCAAATGGATGATGATGTTCGCGCCTGTGGCGATGGCGCAGGCGAAGTGGCCAATGTTGGGTCCCAAGTTAACTCAACCGGTGCGTGCAGCCAGCATCAATCAGTTGGTGGAAGAAACTGTGTTGCTGCTGAAGGCGATGGGTTATCGGTGCAACAGCCGACCAAACAGTCTCATTCTGTCCGACTGGAGTCTGACCCGCGGCGGAGCTGAGCTCTGGCAATGGAAGAAGAAGTTGAGAGTGGCGTTTGGATTGGAGAAGGCCCCTGGTGTATCGAAGCAAGTGTACAGCTGAGTAGCCGAGTTCAAAACACGCGGCGAAGACCGAAGCACAATTCCTTTGCCGAAGACCCCGAAGGCGAAGAGACGTGAAGTGTTCCGAGCTACGCAAGGGACTCCGTACTTCGAAGACTCCCATATGCTGACTCCAATGAAGCTAAACCCGACTCAGCGAGCGCCGAGTCGTGGACAGCGGAATGCTGGTCGTTACCGTGAAATGTATGACGCTGCAGACGAAGCTGAGGCTTACGAGGAGGACGAGGAGGACGATGACGCCTTCGACGTAAGAGGAAACCGTGAAGAAACCGTGAAGGATTATATCCGAAACTTGAGCTTCGACGCGCCTGCAGAAGACTCGACTCAGTGCCTAGAAGTCCGAGCCCACGCCTCACTCGACAAAATCGCTGAGTTCGAAGGGAAGCGCTACCGTTCTGACGCATCGCTCCAGTAGCTGAAGCGTTTCATCTACGAGATGAAGAGCACCAGGATGTCCCAAAGTGGCTGGTGCGAACCCTTCTCGCTATGCTTGGGACGCGCGGCGAAGAGTTGGTATAGGCAGCTGCCGAAGAAGACTCAGCGACGCTGGAAACTACTCATCGAGGCGTTTCTGGATTATTATTGCTCACAGTTTGACCAATCCGCCCGCACTCTTTACTACTCGGCGAGACGAAATATCAATGAGCCGATCTGCGACTTCCTGATCCGACTCAATGGGTATGCTCGGATAGCCAAGATCCAGTACGAGAAAGGGGGCGCCGACGCAGCTGACCATGTCGAGCACTTCTTGCTGCATTGTGGTGATGACGATGTGATGGATTTGATGTACCCCTTGCAGTTGGAAGACATCAGTAAAGCGAAGCAGATAATCAATCGTCGGATCCTCGGTGAAAAGCGCAAGAAGCAACGCGACCGACTCGTGATCGCACGAGGCCGAGACAATATGCGGAAGGATCCAAGCCGCCGAGATGAACGCCGAGATGGGCGTCGAAAGGAGAAGCGCAGTCGCAAGGAAGAAAACCGCGACCGCCGAGTCACTTTTGTTGACGCTGACTCTGACGGGGAGGAACTCTTCGATCAGAACCCGCCGAGTCCTTACAACTCCGAAGACGAATGGAATGATGAGGACCAGTCCGGAGGCTACGACTCAGCGGAAGACGACGACTACATAGACGCCGGCGTTACCAATGATAAGGGCAATACACCGGACCGCCGAGAGAACTCGGCGAGAGACCAGAATGGCTCGAATCGAAGTTGGGGGAACTCGGCGAACCGACCTCCGCGACCGTACAACCAACGAGAACAGTCGAACCGTGGAGATGGATCACGCGACAATTCACAGCGTGTACCTTGTGTAGCTTGTGGAAGAACGGGGCACTCGGCTCACTACTGTCGGCGGCGCTGCAAATTCTGCAGACAAGTCCATGAAGTCGGCCAGTGCGATGTTTCGTCAATACGAGAAGCTGGCTGCGTTCGTGAAAAACTCTGTCGACAAGTCGAAAGTGCCAGAAGACCTGCAAAACCTTTACACGCCAAGTGATTTAAACTCGGCTGCCCGCCAACACTGACTGGGTTGGAATATGCCGGGCTGCCACGGTCAGCTGATCCTGCTGTTGAGGCGAACTTCTTGTTTGCCTTCGTAGGCGAAGCAGGACGGCCCGAGGGAAGAAGCGGGGGTGGCAATTGGATGTGTGAAATCGACGGAATTGAACGTGAGCTCGGTGAGCTAGATGATAACCACCGAGCGATTGCAGGTGTAACTCGGCAGTCAGACCAGGCTGTGCGTCGTACCAGAATCATGAAGCTGCTTCCAGGAAAACGGCTGGGATGGTGGTCAGCACAGACGTTTGATCCCCGAGTTAGAATGAGAGCTCTCGTATTGGGGGCAGTAAACGACCGAAGGACCAAGATATTATTGGACACC